AAAGAATGAAGCAGGATGTGGCCTGTATAACAAAGCAACATTAATATAACATCAGAATTAAAGTTCAGAATTTGTTGATTTAAAAGACAGCAGAATGATGACATTGTCACAGAACATGGATTTGTTTCTGTGAACTGATACTGTTCTTGCTTTATAGCTTTATAAGGAGAAGACTTAGAGTCATTTGAAAGCAGTTTGATTTGTGTCATTAGACAAATGAGAAATAATTCAGAGCTGACAGGACACCATGCTTCGCTCAGAATTCATTTATTTGTTTGATCTCTCAATAAACATCTTTGTTATATTTATTTCAAAAACCTGCAGTTTTATCCTTGAAGATTTCAATGACTGTATGTACAGAGTGTTTTTTTTTATTTATTTTTTTATCCATACTAACTATAGCTGGCTTGATGATTTTGGAGTATTTGTAATTATCTGACTGACTGTTTAGGGCGCAATAACCAGAACCAGAACTTTATTCTGTAAATAAGTTATTTATCATGTAAACATGTTCTGACTGGAAGAGCCTAAATAAAACAGAATAAAAATCCATGTTTAAATCAAATCCTCCCAATTTTTTTCAACATGAGTAGGTAGGAATAATTTATTTCCCATGAAGAAAAAGGCAAAACAAAAAACAAACAAACAAAAAAAAAACAGAAAAATTACCCAAAAGTTTAATTTAAAAAAATCAATGAGAAGATATTTTGTGTGTGTGCCAAATCTGTCCATATATATATATATATATACAGTATATTATGGAAAATTAATGCAGCACACTACACAGAAAAATGCTGAAATAGTATGAATTTTTAGTAATTTTCTTAGCACAAGTTACAAACATTTATAATATTAATTATTATTATTATTTTACAATCGGTCTAATCTACAAAAAAATCGTCTAAACACACGCACGCACACACACAGACACTCACACACCGCAGGTTGCAGAAACACCATCTGTGATGACAAAGTTTCACCACTAGATGGCGTCAGCGGGTTTTCGTCCTGAAAGCTGCGCGCTTAGTTTCTCTGCAGGCCTTTACGGCCTTTTTACACTCTGCTTGTTATTAGAGAGAGACAATGTAAATTGTACTCGTTTTAAATATTTTTTTATCAACAAATAATTTTTTTACACATTTATAAAAATGAAAAAAATGGAAAAATGAATGCACACGAGAAAAGTACACTTGTCTCTCAGAGATTTATTGTCAACAAACGGTGACTATGCGGTTAAAAAAGGACGGATGGATAGTTGCAGATTCAGTACTTACACTTTAAATGAGTCTTTAAAAGTATTTAAATTCCTTGCTCAAATTAAAAGCATAAAAACGTTTCCCGGGGTGAAATACTGTGACAAACAGAACAGTCTCACGTTTGATAACAACGCGGGATAAATAATTATTTTAAATCTGGTTAACAGTTTCACGTAAAATACAAAAAGAAAAAATATATTGATTTATATTAATTTTTTGCCTATTTTTTTTTTTTGTTGTCACAACAAGAGGGGATTTTTAATGTTCTCTCACCACGAAACCAAAAATTGTTCAGGTGAGTTCACCGACGCGCTTGTTTTTGAATTTCACGTCATTTCTGTTTGGAACTAAACACGGAAAATGCGCACAAGTGGACGGAGTGTCCGCCAGCTTTAAAGTCTCATGATTCGGTGAAAACCCTGAAACATCCCAAGCAGAACTCCTTTAAATTCCAAACCACTTCCGATCTTCTGTCAACAGGCCGCGTGGACTGGTTCCAATTAAAGCCGTGAGGAAGGAAATGTTCAAACCAGAGGCGCTCTGGCGACAGAGCGCACGGGTCAAAACAGAATAAATTACAGCGCACTCCTTTCTGGAGGAAAGCGCCTCCACGTGCGCCTTTAAAATAAAATAATAAAAAGACTGTGTGTCCAAACTTGCTAACTGGAACTCTTGAATTTATTGACAACCTTCTTCTCCTTCACCCGCCTGTTCTGGAACCAAATCGTCACTTGTCTCTCTGTCAGGTGTGTCTGCGCGGATATCCGTCTCCTTTTGTCTTTGGTGATGAATTTATTGGCGGCGTACTCCCTCTCCAGTTCTTTGAGCTGCACCTTGGTGTAGGGCACGCGCTTCTTTCTGCCACGACGGACTGAGGGGTCTCCAGCAGATATCGTGTCTGTGGAGAAACAGGATTGTTAATAATAAAAATAAAGAAAACGAGTTTACATTTTTTGTGGTTGTGCGCCAGAAATTACGCATCGAAAATAACACCAAAAAAAGAAGAACTATGCAATATTTTGGGAGAGTTGATAACTCAGATAAAGTGCCATGTGTGTTTCTGCACACTTTTTTGAACATTTCAAAGAAGTCACCTTGTAAGGAGGATTTCCACAAAGGGTTGGACTGCGGCTGCTCCTTGGCGCAGTAAACCTGTCCACTCCAGCCGTTGGTGATGCTCCAGGGCTGGTAGGGCTCCATGGGCAGCAGAGGCTCGTGCCTCGGCTCGGATGGAGCACTCAGCGCAGGTACGACAGGAACATCTAGGTAGCTGGGCTGGTACGGGCCGGATGAGTAACCCTGGTAAAAGGCAAACTCCTTGGCCCGGGTGGAGAACTCCTCACCCGGAACCGAGGACTCCGCGTATTTCTCTGCGTAACCGGACGGTTGCGCGCAGGTTTTCACGCTGCTGTGGGACACCCTGCACGGGTAATAACCGCTGCCAAAATATCCATAGGGCAAAGAGGCATTTGGGGAGCTCTGGGTACCAGAACAGGGGCTGCACTGCTTCCCCGGCTCCCCCACACCGGAGACTGGCACCTCGCTCGCAGCGTAGGTCGCGCTGGGGGCCAGCGAGGGCGGATGCGCCAACAGATTCCTGCACTGGTTCGCCGCAAAGTTGCCTCCGCTGAAGCCCTCCATGTTCTTGCTCCTGTCCTCCAGGGCGCTGTCGCTGTAGAGAAACATCACCGGGTCGATCCAGTGCGAGTGGAGGAGTAACGAGGCGGTCATAGCATGTCCCGCACTCACAGGAGCGAGTCGGGTTTTTTTCTTCTTCTAAAAAACACAATCCCCCTTTCAACTGAGCAGAGACAGGGACTCAGACAGAGGAACGATAGCAAAAAAAACACAGTAGAGAACATGGAGATCGAAAGGTTATTGGTCAGGGTCGAGCACGTGATATGCAAACAAGGTGAGAAACGTCTAGACATCTGATAAGGCAGATCAGATTTTACACCAAAATATGCTCACTCCATGGGATGTGATAGAAGAAAATGCATTTCGATATATTTATCTCGTTTTGTTTAATTGATTTCAGTGATGTGGTTAAATGTTAAACCTGGAAAACTTGGTTTATTTTGTTTATATGCAACATTTGGGGGCAGAGTTTGTGCGTAATGAGACGCGTAATTTGAAAAGAGCTGATTTTAAAGACAAAACACCGGATATTTCCACAACTCTAGGGGAAGCTTTGCTTGTTCTTCTTTGTTTTTGCTTTTTTAATACTTTCTTTCAGTCAAAAGTGGAAATCTGTAGCAAAAACATCGAATTACTGAAGTGACTGTGAAATTTGGTTTTACGCACAAAAAATGATGAACTTTTAAATAGATTATACGTTTTCTTCCCCCCTAAATTTACAGACAAGTATAGGTCCAAGATGAGTGTCCCTGAAGGCACCACATATGGTCGGCCCTGATGGTGGGAGACGCGGCTGGAGGCCAAGGTCAAGGTGAAAACTGCAGCGGCCAGAAGGAAAAGTCAGACGTTTGATGTCTTGATGGAGGAAATTTAGAAACAAAGTTCTGCGTTTGTCTCCGAATTACTAACTTCTGGGTTAAAAATAATCTCCAAAGCTATAGAGTTGATCCGGAGCCTAAATAAAAATAAAATGTGGTCTGCAGCTGGGTCGCTCCAACAAACACTCAGCTGTGAGGAATGAAAAGAGACGAACACGCACAAAACGTGATGGTTTAACCTTGAACTTCATTTCCCCCCTCCCTTATTTAATTTGTGTCATTTCACTTTATGTTTCAAGTCAAAGTGAAGTGTGGCTGCCCAAATACATCTGAGCACCTTTTTGAATTTTAATATAATTTTCCCACCTTTTGAGGCTGTAAATCTTTATGGGCCAAGTTCAGCTTGTATGTGTGGTGGTGCGGAGAGCAGAAAATATATCATCTGTTGGTTTTATATGTTGTATGGTTAATATCTTAAATCTGCTTTTTATTTAGCATTACACTGCAGATTTACCAGAAAAAAAGACACATTCTTCTCTGAATTTCCACACTGGAGCAGGAACCACTGGAGCCAGACATCCTTCTCATTAAAAACAACTGTTTGGTTGAAAAAGCGAGGCTTTTTACACTAAAATTAAATTGATTCATCCTCAGTTTACAGCTTCAGTTCGCGGGTTTCTAATGAAGAGACACACAATTTATACAGTGCAAAACTCTTCAACGTTTCATCTGCGCTTTAGTCAATTTAAAATGAAAATTGGCTATTTGCTTACAAAACAAAATAAAACAGATGGTTTAAAAAACAATTTCAACTTATTAAAATCGACTCAATTCATATAGTCACAGATTCATGAATCAGACACAAAATAACTCTGACCAGAATATTTTTTAACACACATTTAAAAATAAAAAAAAATTCAACTAAAATGCCTTTATTTTGGCAAAATAAAATCCCTTTCGACAAGAGTGATTTTCAACTACAGTGGGTGGTGACCGACTTTCAGTCAGGAGCAGTTTTCAGTGCCCGGACAAAAAACACTTAAAGAAAAAAAGTACTTTTTGATTATTATGTCAGTTTTACGTCAGCTACATTACTATTTGGAGTCATTGCATCTCAGCGGCTGGAGTCAGTAAAAAAAAAAAAAAAAAAGTGAAGTAAGAGTTTTGTTCTGATGCATGCTCAATAATCCAGGTAAATAAATCTTAAAAGGTTAAGTCAGTTGCATTGTAAGAGGGTGACGATCGTTAAACAGAGCGGAGGCCTTCGTGTCCAATTGTCCCCCTCTTACAATTTTATCACTCAGCCCTCTGTGAATAGCAAGCGGGCGTCAGGGCACTAATTATTGGTCATAGGCTGATGGTCCTTTTGCACGTGGACATGAGAAGGTGTTATTTATATGACTGAGTTTGTTGCAGCTCCTCAGACTGAAGAAGTCCTTTGGATAACAAGAACTATCCATCCAGAGGTCTTTACTCAACTTTTTAGATTTACTTTTAGTTTTGATCAAATGCATCAAATTGCGCTTAAAAGGAACATTTCCCTCATTTGCAGGTTGCTTTGATTTGTCGTTAAACTTGTTTTGTGTGTTTGCATATTGTGATTTTCTATTCAATCATTTCAGACTCAAACTGCACCATATTTTCACTGAATATATTTGAGAAGCTTTACATTTTTCTCGACTGGGTCACAGCTTGTCATTTTAAATGGTAATGGTGGGGTCTCGAAGCCAGAGCAGTTAAAAAGCATTGTTTCACAAAATAAGGCATGACATTGTGGTGCCAAAGGTTTAAACAAAATAAAACAAAATGCATTTCTGCTTTTACAATGCTTTATTCTGGAATAAACCAGGAACAGACCCAACATTTCCAGCCCAGAGGCCTATTGTTGCAACACTTTGTGCACCATGTCACAAACATCACAAACGACAGCAGCACATTGTTTATTTTTGTGATACTTCAGCGTAAGGCACATAAAAAAAAAATAAAAAAAAAGAAGCAGTGAAGTGTCAAACACTGTAAATGCAACAAAATGCTAATAATTATCCCGGCATTTACAAATCAAACCTGAAGCTGAGTGCAGATTAAAAAGTGAAGCTGCTTTGAGCGTGCAGGCAGCAGTGAATGATGTGTGTGTGTAAGTCTGCTGGAGGCCTGAGACCAAAGTGCTGCTCTGTTTGCAGAACCCATCAAGCAGATGACAGCGCAGCTCTCAGCCTACAGTGCTTAATGGACTTTTTATGACTTTTGTCTTGTGATCGCCTGACCTGTGGTACCTTGGCCTCTCAGTGGTTGTTGGTAAAGGAGATCAGAAACATGCCGCTCTCCTGCTCTGGCGTACAAGAAAGCAAAAAAGGAGGAAAGATCACCCAATTTGTGGCAGCGTATAAGTGGTGCTTTGACCCATTAAAGGCAGAGTGCAGAAATATTTAAATCTCCTGAGAAAGAGAGATGATGCTCTGCACATCCAGGCAGAAGTTCGTTCAAAGCAGTTTGAGCTTCTGACTTGGTGAATTGGATGCAAAGGAAATTATTTGTTTTCAAAGTTCTCAGATGTGAGAATCATGCATTGAATGCCCAAATTAGTGCAGCTCAAAAAAAAAAAAAGTCCTTCGCAAAACCTGAGGCTCGTCCCCATTTGAATGAAAGATTGTGGAGAGGAGCTCTTTCCAACAGTTAATTTAGAAATTTTTTTTTTTTTTAAATCAGCATTTGTTTTAGAAAAACGTGCTAGCAGTTCTGTGCACGCCGATTTCTGGTTAACATTAAGATGAAAAGACAGAGGCTATAAAAGGAAATGTGGTGCACAAAGCAGGACGCCACTACCCTTCTGTATTCATCTTTATTCTCTGACAGAATGACACTCAGAATAACAGCTCCTACGTCAAAAGGAAATAACTCATCTGAACAGAAACAACAGCAAAAATAAAAGTAAACAGAAGATAAATAAAAAAAAAAACTGTATAAGTTGTATTTCATTGGATTTCTTCTGCATTTAAGTGACCGTTTAATTGTTTTTTCGTTGTAAAACTCCAAACAGTGCCTGATTATAAAAATCTTATTCACATGTGAAACATCATTTCCATTATGATTCAGGGCTTTTGCAATTTTGAAAAAAAAAAAAAAGTCAATATGTGGAAATATAACTATGCTATGTTAGTCCTGTGCAGGGAGAGGCACGTGGGGTGGGGAGGGTATGTTACAGACGGTGCGGAAGCTGATATTACTGACTGTCCTCCTCACGCAGGAACTGGAACACGGAGGAGAAATCTTTATTGGCGTAACCACGTGCGCACATCATCCGATAGATCTGATGGGCTAAGGAGCCGAGGGGGACAGGAGTCCTCGTGGTGGTGGCTGTGTTCTGCGCGAGGCCCAAGTCCTTAAAAAGAAAAGCAAAGGAACATCAGGAAAATACAGCAACACACAGGAATGCACACACACAGTTATTTGTGAGCGTTCATCGATTTATTTCAAGGGTTATGAATTAGAAACAAGTTTTGATAACACTAAAAAAAAGATGTTAAACAAGCATTTCAATTATTTTCTTCACCCTTTTCTCCACGTTAATGTAATAAATCTAAATATATTGGGGGCAGGAGGGGGAACTGATTCTACTGGGTCATATACATGACCACTAGCTTATAAACTGACCTTAGTCATGAGCTGTGTGCCAAACCCCCCCTGGTAGTTATTCCCAGAAGGAACTCCCTCCATGACTCCTGGCACTGGGTTGTAGGTGTCACTGGACCAACAGCGACCAGAACTCATGTTCAGAATTTTGGCCAAAAGTTTGGGATCAAGACCAAGTCTGTGGGTAAAGGCACACATCATCAGAAGTTACGTCACAGCATGGCATTACTTTTTAAATGCATTTTGGACATTTTCTTTTACCTGATCCCCAAGTTCATCGTCTCCGAAGTCCCTATCATTCCAATGGCTAAAAGCATATTGTTACAGATTTTGGCAGCCTGCAACAAGATAAAAGCAGCATCTATTACCACAAAAACACAGCTAATTACTATGATAAATAAGTGACAAGCACACAGTTTTATTTATCTTCAAGGAATAGGTCAGATCTTTTGAAGAGGTGTTAACGAACAAATATCTTACCTGTTATAGATAGTTCTTTGAACATCAGTTTGAAGAAAACTAGCCGTGCGATTTAATTGAACTATATTTCCAAACTAAGGTTGTTCAAAGAGCTAGCTAAGACCAGTAATTATTTGATCAGAAACTTTCCACAGAACCTCATTTTGAAAGAGCTGAACTATTGCTTTAAAGGAGATTTGAATATTACCCCGCCCCCCAAGTATTTTACTCATAATGCTATTTGCTCACACCTGTCCAGTTCCAACGTGACCACAATAAACCACATTAGCTCCCATGCAGCTGAGAAGCTCTTTGGCTGCATTAAATTCCTCTTCCGCTCCTCCGACCATGAACGTCAGTTTACCTGAACTGGCAGCCCCCACACCTAGAAAAAGACAAAAGCACGCTCAAATACAATGACAGGAAGAAAAAATGAAATCACATTAAAAAGGAATTTATATGAATTAGCCGATTAGTAAAACTTGTATAACAGATTTTATCGAGCACGTGTATCAAAATGTGTTTTCATCTAATATAAAGGAGCAAAAATATTAATTTGATACAAGTCAGAAAATAGAAGCAAAAGCAAAATAAAAATAATAAATAAATAAATAAAATTTTAATGTACTTAAATATCCAGAATAAGATGTTTTTAACAACCAGTTGCCAAATAACAAGCAACACCGAAGTATTTTATTGTAAGACACCACAGAACAAAGAAAAACGGGGAAAATAAAAGAAGAGAATCTGACTAACATAAAAAAAAAAAAAAAATTTTTTTCAACATGTCAATAAATGACATAATATATTCTTTGCTCTATAAACATGCTGTGGCTTTAGAGTCAGTCATTGTGGAATTCATGAGCATTATGCGCAGAAAGCAAAAACCAACAGTGGTCGTAGAGCTTCTGATCCATTAGACACAAATTTAACTGATTCACTTTGTTCCAACACTGTCAGCAATGGTTTGGTTACAATTTGTCTAAATGCAGGAACAGTTGGTTTCAGTAAATAGAGGGTTAAAATCTTGGCACTCTACAATTACCAGGTGCCTGACATATGGGTGCCAAGTAGTTACCCAACACAGTCTTATAATTAATCCCAGAGTTTACAAGAAGCCAGTGGAGAAGAGCCAAGTTGGGTGTTAGAAGTTTTTCCTTCCCCTATCCTCGTGGGCAGTCTGCTTGAAGCAAAAGATGGGGCCAAAAGTTACAAAAACAGGAACAAGAAAACAATGAGTTGTGACTTTTGAATTTAGCACAAACAATAAGAAACCTAATTAACTAAACCAACAACTGAGTCAACACATCAGTGATGATTCCCACATGAACACAATAACAGAAACAAGAAAATAAAGTTGAACATTTCTTATATTAATGCAACATTTTTACTAACGTTCAGACATTACTGTCAAAGATGCAGGTGAAGGTATATTTAAGATTCTTAATCCTCATTTTATTACATGAAATGCTGGGAATGTGTCACTGTTCTGTTGCCACAGTATGATTCAGGAAAAAAAACATAGTCCTCTTTATTATTTCTTTCTTTATTTGAGTTAAGTTTACACCAGACGGTAGCTGACCAAACGACAAAAGTGTTTTGCATTTGCTCCCTGATCTGAACTCGAATGGTGTTCCTTTGTTGGACTTCTGTGCTAAGCACGGGCTGTCCATAATGAACACCATGTTTGAGCACAGGGTGGTTCATAAGTGTACTTGGTACCAGGCCACCTTAGGCCAAAGGTTGATCGATTTTGTAATTGTGTTGTCAGACCTGCAGCCCTATGTCTTGGACACTCAGGTGAAGAGAGTGCAGAGATGTCAATTGATCACCACCTGGTGGTGAGTTGGATCCGGATGCTGGGGGAGGCTGCCGGACAGACCTGGTAAACACAAATGTATAGTGAGGGTGAACTGGGAATGTCTGGTGGAGCCCCCATCTGTGCAACTTTCAACTCATACCTTTGGGAGTTTTTCACATGTCCCAAGGGAGGTCAGGGACATGGAATCTGAATGGGCCATGTTTAAGAACTATATTGCAGATGCAGCTTCCCAGAGCTTGTGGCCTCATGGTCATTGGTGTCTGTCGTGGCGGCAACCAAAGGACCAACTGGTGAACACCAGTGGTGATGGAGGCCGTCAAGTGGAAGGCCTTCAGGACTCCTAATGAAACTGATGGGTACAGGGTAGCCAGAAGGACTGCAGTTTTGATGGTTGGGGATGCAAAAACCCGGGCATGGGAGGAATTCGGGGAGGTCACGGAGAAGGAGTTTCGGATGGCCACAAGGAAGTTCTGGTAAACCATTTACCGTGACTCAGAAAAGTGGGACCCTTCACTAGCTGTGTTTGGGTTGGGTGAGGGACTGCTGACCCAGACTGAGGATATTGCTGAGCGGTGGTAGGAGTACTTTGAGGATCTCCTAAATCCACCCACCCACCATGTCAGAGTCAGAGAGTCAGAGATTCTTCATTGTCATTCACACCACATGTGGTGGGACGAAATTATGTACACAGGGTCCCAGTTACATCCAACAATAAAATGTAGAAGAAAAACAATGATAACATCTAAGATATGAACTAAGAAAAACATCAACTAAAAATATACTAAGCACTAGGGCTGCAACTAACAATTATATCAATAACCGATTCATCGGCTGATTATTTTTTCGATTAATCCATGAATCGGCAAAAAAACCCACAACGTTTAATTTCCACCCCTTTATTCCAAAATTGAACATTTGACTGACATAGCAATTCACACAAAAAACAGGTTGCTATTTGACTATTCTGTTAGTAAAATATTGAATAAAAAAAATAAAAGTTAGTCAAATAGTTTAAAAAAACAAATGTGCACAAAAATATATACAAATGTATCTTTATACCTGCACAATATGTAGCTACTTTATAAAATGTGTCATTGAGGGAAGAGTGTAACCTGGATTAAAAATGTGGATTATTGTAACCTGGACTAAAAGTGTGGATTATTGTAACCTGGATTAAAAGTGTGGATCATTGTAGTGAAGCCTTCGTCTTCAACCATCAACAGAGGCCTCATGTCAAGTGACAGAGGAGCTGTGGACGCATTCTCATCTACCTGCCAGCTGTGCCTGACCACTGAGATCCTAGAACTAGCAGGAAACACAGCCTGTGACTGCAGAAGGACGGGACCGTCCCACGGCACCTGCAGCCATCTGTCCACAGTGACGAGGAGCTTGGCATGCTGCTGGGAGGAGTGGCCATCATTCTGAGAGGAGTTCAGTCTGGCATTCAGGTGGTCCTGCAGCCTGGGGGAACCGAGAAACCAGCCGAGTTTGGGTGGATGGATCGGACGGCATCTGCGGCCAGTTTCTTCAGATCTGCTGTGGGATGGACCTTTATAAGAGATCCTTCCTGCCTACAGCAATATCTACAACATCGCTTAATGAAACGAAGATAAAGAGTTACAACAAGCGAGCAGTTCGGTAGGCGGGGCACTCGGTTCTGTTGATGGGGTGGGGCGCCCCACTTGTATAATGGTAGGGGAAGCACTGCATTCAATAAAAAATAATTAAAAGACCACATCACAGATGGTGTCAAAGGCCAGGGAGAAGAGATGGGTTTTATGAAGGGATTAAAAACAAATAGAGAAGAGGCTTGTCTGATGTCCAAGGGAAGGTTAAAAAAAAAAAAAAAAGAAGCTGTCACAGCAAACACACGGTCTCCTCTGAGCTTACGTTTTGTCTTCGGCACACTCAGTAGCAGCTGATCAGCTGAGGGCTGAGGCTCGAGAGGGTGCGTAGGGATGTAGCAACTAAGACAGATAGGGTGGGGCAAGTCCATTAAGAGCTTTAAAAGCAAATAAAATAATTTAAAAATGAATCCTAAAATGCACAGGCAGCCGGTGCAGGGGAGGTTAAAATACGGGAAATTTGATCAAATATTCATGTGCCAGTTAAAAGCCATCACCAAAAAAGATACATTTAATCTTTTTAATTTAAAAACAAAAAAATTGGTGAAGCCAGTGTTTAATGTCAGTAATACACTCAATAAAAGAAGTGTGGAGGTTAGTACATTTAGACTTCATAGACAAATAAATTTATAGATCGTCTGCATAGCAGTCAAAAGAAATGTGATGTCTGGGTATAACTGATCCATGTGGCAGCATATACAGAGAAAAAAGAGATGACCGAGAATAGAGCCCTGTGGCACACCATAAGAAAGAGGAGCAATCAAGGAAGACAGATTACTCAACATTGGTCAAGTAGGAGGTGAGCCACTTAAGAGCTGAAACAGATATACCAACATAGTGTTGAAGACGAGAGAAGGACAGCATGATCCACTGTATCAAACAGCTGCAAGGTCCAGCAGCACCAAAGCAACAGGACACTTAGCATCCACAGTTATGGCAATATCAATTATGGACTTTTAACAGGGCTGATTCATTACTATGATAAGTTCTAAATCCAAATTGAAATTTTTCATAAATGCCATGTTTTCCTAAGACTGGTGTTTCCCCTACCATTATTTAAGGAGGGAGCCTCGCCCTGTCAACAGGACCGAGCATCCCACCTCCCCACCCCCCATGCAGCTCAACCACTTCTGGATGGGGAGCGGAGAGCTCTCTTACCCCCACCCCCAAATACTGCCGGCACTAATGTTGCACTACGCTAACCAACCCCCAACAACCGTGCATGCAATACAAACGTAGTAGTGAATTAGTTGATCTAATAGTTTTCCATGTGCAAAAGAGAAACTCAAGATCAAATAACAAAAAGGTTAAATAATTTCATCTGGACTAGTTTCTTTAAGGGAGAAATGTTTCGTCTTCCATCACGAAGACTTCATCATTCTGTGGCCTGCCAACCAGATCTGTCTGTCCCATAAGTAGCCTTCACTGCTGTGTTTCAAGTCTAGGAGGTTGGCTATACACAGTGGTAGTCATCTTGGATTTTGACATGGCAACCCAATTTAGGTCAATACCTTGCCAAGACCTATCTTACGTCTAGCTAATAAAGTTAAATCAGGTTCTCTGGACGAATTCTTCTTTGTTGAAATGTTTCGTTTTTTATCTAAAAGACTCCTTTAGTCTGAGGAGCTGCAACAAACTCAGTCTTATGAATAGCACCTTCTCATAGTGGATCAACTAGTTTGCTGGTGACAGCCAAACCTACTGTAGCTGTTCACATGTAAAAGGAGGACCATCAGCCTAACAGTTGATCGTTAGTGCCCTAACAATTTGTCGTTAGTGCCCTGATGACCACTTGCTATTCACAGAAGGCTGAGTGATGCAACAACAGCATTGTAAGTGGGTGACATTTGAAGATGGAGATCCCCGCTCCTGTTTAATGATGGACGGGCAGGGTCTCTGTGTTCATCTGTTACCCTCTTGCAGCACCTCAGACAAAAGAAGTCTTTTGGATAAAAGAAATAGACATTTCATCAAAGAAGAATTCATCCAGAGGACCTGACTTAACCTTGCTAGATTTTTCTACCTGGATTATTGAGCATGCATCAGGACATTATTTACACCTAGATGCAGCCACACACCAAAATGGAAGTCTGTATCTCATTTATTTAAATTTTCAATAGCTCACAAGATGGATGGATAGACGCCGGTATTTCCAATACCCTCTTAGCTCTGCGACGTGGAACAACAAAACTAGCAGTTTTTGAAAGAAAGCATTTACCCTTGCCCTGATTTTCAAAGTTTGACATAAAGATTACACAAAATTTTAGTTGAATATTTGTAAATGTGACTGAGATGTGATAATTTTTGCGTTTGATTTGGATAATTAACTGTGGTGGTCATCTTAAATCAGGTTGCCTCCAAAAGCTGTTCAATTGTAGATGTATGTCCAGTGATTAGTTCAAGTTTCATTCAAATTCATACATTTTAGATTTAAGCATAACACTAGGAACTGTCTCCACCCTCATTTGCCCCACTCTGGGCCCATGAGCAAGGCCCTTAACCCACCCACCTGCTCCCCGGGTCTTAGATGGCAGCCCACTGCTGCACTTGTGCTCACATGTGCAATGGGAAAAATGCAGATAATTAATTTCCCCACTGGGGATTAATAGAGTACAATAAATAAAAAAATAAAATAAATCATGTCCATGCCCAACTCTGGCCGATCCGGCTGAGGTCTTTCCTGGATCCTCTCTTGATGATTTTGCATGTTGGCTGGATCGTCATAGCAAGAAGACTTGGGGCTCATGTACTGTAATTTTTTGCAGCACCCAACAATGGAAAACCTGAAGCTCATGCTATTCCTGCTCATCATTCTGTCATCAAAAACAAGTTAAAACAGAGCCAGAGAAGAAGTCTGTTTGCTGACAAAGAAACACAGTGGAAAGCTACATGAGAGTGAACAAAGCCATACAGTAGTATCATGCCACAGTGAGGGGGCAAGACAACATAGGGAGGTAAGTCAAAGCTAGCTAACGTTAGCTGGTTTACAGACATTTGAAGTTGCACGTATAACCGGGCCAGTGAACCAATTAACGGCCTGCAGTCTGCTGATGTTAAATATTCGGCATGAGTTGGCCTGCATGGAACCACTGGTCTCTGTGTTCCAAACATCAAGCTGGAAATGGGCTAAACAGTGCAATGCAAAACCTGGAGCACAGGCCGGGACAACCCAGAATGGGCTGGCCCTTACAATGCAAAAGGGCTAAAAGTCTCTTCAGTGTGTCCTGGGTCTTCCCCGGGGGTCTCTCAGTTGGATATGCTTGGGAAAACTCCCTAGAAAGATGTCTAGGGGGGCATCCTTACCACATGCCCAAACCACCTCAGCTGGCTTCTCTCTGTGTGGAGGAGCAGGGGCTTTACTCGCAAGTCTCTCCCGGATAGAGATGTGATGTTTGTGAACAATCCAAATCTTCTGAATGACTCTTTAAAACTAATGATGGAAACTGAGTTATTTTTGTTATTAACCTTAACTTAACCAGACAAATCCCATTGAGAAAATATATCTCTTTTACAAGGGAGGCCTGTGGGCAACTGAGAGCATTGTTTGCACTCATCATGCTCAATAACATTCCTGCTGATGTACTGTAATGTGAGTGATATTAACTCTCCCATGTAATCACTCTTACTATGACCAGTCAGTGAGGAACAAAAATAACTAGTTGTTTTGATATCCTCAAGGTTTGATTGACATTATATGGATATGATACAATTGATATGATTTGGTGATGCGTCTTCAAGCAGAGTCCTTGGCTCAGATCCGCTCCTTCCTGTCTGCAGCGAACCTTTCGATGACGGCTTATACATGGAGGGGAGGGGGTGAGGGAGGGCTGGAGGTTATTCTATAAAACTAACTTGTCCAGTTCAGAAGTTAGAGCAGGTCAGCATTTCAGGCGGATGAGAGAATTGATAAGAGTGTGATCTTGCAAGTGCATTTAACATCCTGTGAATGCTGGACTGCTCTCCAAAGCTTTGTAAATAAATCTGATGAACTACACCTTGGTCTGTTTGGAAAGCTCCCTTTTCCCACGACACTCCTTTTTTAAATTTCTTTCTCCTCATGATTTTCTCATGTTTTCCTCCTCAGATGCAGACACACCCACTACTCCTTTGCTTTTCCACTGAGATGAAGAACAGGCAGAGGAGTGCAGCAGTTGTTATAAATGGGAATAATATGCTTAGCAGGGGAAGTGGGGTTTGTTCACTCGACAAGTCAATGTGTACTGTCCTTACGTCATGTCGCTACTGTTCAAAATTGAACGGATCTTTTAAATGAACAGATCTATGAGCTCTGGCTTCCTTTAAAGAGCCACATGTCCCATCTCTACTCCTGTAAAAGTGAACTTCTCACCCGATCTCTAAGAGAGTCCAGCTATCCTGCAGAGAAAGCTCATTTCGGCTGCTTATATCTGCAGTCTCATTCCTTTGTTCACCACCCAAAGTTCGCAACAATAAATGAGGGTAGGAACATTGAACGATCAGCAAACAGAGAGCTTTGCCTTACAGCTCAGCTCCATCTACACCACAACAATCTAGCACAGAGTATATAATACTGCAGAAGCTGCACCAATCAGTGAGTCTATCTCACGCTCCATTCTTCCCACACTTGTGAACAAAACCCCGATACACTTGAACTCGTCCACTTGAGGCAGCTCCTCACTTAAAATCCAGATTATATTAGACAATGAAGCGTAATAAAACCATGGAGGAAAAAGTATACAATTTACCTCCTGAGACTGGCGCATCCATAAAAACTGCCCCCAATTTCTCAGCAGCAGAAGCCATCTCTTTAGAAACAGCTGGGTCAATTGTGCTGGAGTCAACAAGCAGGGAGCCTTTCTTTATTTTTCTGTAAAAAAAAAAATATATATAAAAATGTTAACCTGCATGTTAAATATAATCAAAAAATTGTAAAATGCACAATTGAAGTAAAAAAGTGTACTTAAGAATGCCATTGGGTCCAGTGTACACATCAATGACATTGGGACTAGAGGGCAGCATGGTGATAATTCGATCTGCTTTGTCTGCTACTTCTGCAGGATTATCCACAATCTGTAAACACACAATATATATATATATATATATATATATATATATATATATAAAAAACAACGTGTTGGGCAATATTCAAAACCATGCACATACATTGAACATGCTTTACCTGAGCACCCAGCTCTTGCACCTCTTTGCAGGACTCTGGGAACACATCTGTAGCAATTACTGGGTATCCGTGCTTAAGCAGATTTTTTGCCATTGGGTTTCCCATATTTCCCAAACCAACAAACCCAACCTGTGTCTTTGAGGCCATAGACCTTGTGGAAACTACAACATAAAAAAGATAAATAAAAAAATTGATTATTATTTAAACACATTCATTGTGTCAAGACTGAAAATAAGATATGAATAATGAAAAGAAAGCACAATGTAATAAGAGAATCACTGTTTTAAAAAATGATTTTATATTTAAAAAGTAGCCAAAGTTTTCTTTTTTCCTACTTTAGACTTGCATTTTTACGTGACTTATGGGTGAAATTAGACAATTTGTATTCCCACTTTTTCAAAATTAAAATACTAACTTTTAATGCTGGTCTTTATTTGACATAGTAAAACTTTCTTTTTACATCTTACAGAAAAAGAAAATGTTATTGTGAGAAAAAAAAATCTACTAAAAAGCTTGCAAAGTATTTTGTGAACAAGATAAATTTGGAATATTTTTTGGCACCAGGAATCACCTATTTTACAAATACTGTAATTATAACAGTACATGCAATATAATTTATTTAAATCTCAGCCATTTTCAATTAAATTCTAGTCAGTGTATTTATATAGTGCCAAGTCACAACATACATTGTCTCAGGGCACAGTACAAGAACATTCCCATACATTCATTTTCAGTGCTGCTCACTTAAAAAAACAAACCATTTAATTGCATACACATAATATTAACTTTAGTTCTGCGTTTGCAATGATTCTCAATAACTAAAGGCATGCTGAATCCTAAGAGTTGAAACAAAGCAACTGATTTATTTTATTGCTTTAGGATTTCTTCTATCTAAAGCTTCAAGCTTGAGACATTAAGGGAAAAAAGAAACATTTTGCGCTTATTGCACTGTTTTTACTTCAATATGATTAGCTAATACAGGATTCGAAAAACGCTTACAATGGGTAAACGATTTTTTACATTTATATTTGATGAGATCAGGTTTTCTCTAGGAACGGTTTCACTTTATTCTGGGTGTAGCACTCACAATTCCTCAAATGATGAAATGAGCACAGAAGGACACAGGACCAAATGTTTACAATATTTTTTTAGAATCATGAGTTAAGGCAATAGAGTCACAATAGCTGAAAATCTGTAGCTCTGGCAAACAACCGGACGAAATAATAAGAATAGAAACACAATTAGTTATGGAGCTCAACAACTAATAATCTGAACTTCTCTCAAGAACTATTAGGTAACACAACCCATGTTACACAATGTAATGTTACAAAAACTCACTGGGCTTCAGAAATTAGCGCATACACATGCACACTGTGTGCATAATGTTAGTTTATCCTCCTTACCATATGCAAAATCAGCATGTTTGTGACACCTTCCCACCAGATACCGAAATCCTCTCAACGCAGCGGCCATGCTTCTTTCCTCTTGACCTTACGTGTGACGTAGCTGTACGTAGAGGAATGACAAGCGGCCTGTCCAATCAGATTGAAGATTCAAGAAGCTGGGCCCCACAGTTTCAGCTGTGTGGGAGGGGCTACAAAAATAATACTCAAATACCTAAAATGAGACGTCACTCCAAACTACATTAGCATTGTTGTGTTTTTATTTTCCAAAAGTTTTGTTGTCATGTATTAGAGATTAAATTATATATATTTCAGAATTTTTCATCTTTTCGGGACCGTTTCATTGACGTGCATGTGTTTCTTAACAGAGCCCCCTTCCGGAAATGACGCAATGTTTTTAATCATTCCAGGAAAAGGACACGGGAAAACCCTGAACTGCGTCAACAATTGTTTCTTTGATACATTTGGTATTTTAGCCGCTGTTTAACATGGCAGCAAGGTAAGTTCAATGTCCATTTTATAACTATTACCATAAATACGATTTATAGCATTTATTTCTTGTCAAAACGCATTTAAGAGGTAGCTCAGCACAGGCCGTTGAGAACTGTTTACGTTAGCTATAACCTTGTCAGCTGCCGAGCTGTGCAGTTAAACAACCTTCTCTCTGTTAAATAACCTCGTTAAATAACCTATATTGGTGCATTTTAACACGCCGAGTTAATATTTTCCTCTGTAGTCAAACATTTCTTTCAAACATGCCGGTTAATTTGCGATTGAAGTGTAACGTGTTTTGACGTTAGCATTCCAGCTAGCTAGCAGCACAGCTGTTACCTAGGCGTTTTGTTTTTAGGCCTCAGCTCAAACCTCCTTTTCCACTACTTGACAATTTCAAACATTTTCTCTAAACTAGTACAGAATTGTTATATAAGCTGGTAGATTATTTTAGAATTTCTGCTAATTGGCATCTACGCTAAGTTTTAGACTATTTTCCGTCCCAGGCCTCGCCGATTAATATCAATACAGGCCTGGGAATGGAAACTCCCTTCTCATGTAAAGCTCTCTTTAGCTTTGGGATTTAGGTATCAGTGTGGTGTTTAAAACTTTTATTTTTTAAGAAAAGGTTTCCTTATTAGTTTTTCTAATTAGATGACTGTGTACCAGTGTATCTGAGTGAGTGTAATGCCACTTAGTGGGTAAACTAAATCGTATTATTTATTACTCGTTTTGTTACAAGTAAAATAGAATATATTGATAGCAATGACTAACTTGTAATAAAAATCACCCACCAAGCACAACAACCTGTATTTTATTTTCTTCATTCACAGGCATGCAAATCAATCTGAATGTTTATTTATTGCTGTCAAAAGTCGATTGAGTTTTAATTAAAACTTTTTTCAGCATCAGTGTTTTTATTGCCATTAATCAAGTCCACTCACTGCTGTTATGTCTCACCAAGTAAGGTTTTAAGAGAGAAGAGAGAGAACCACATCTGTGATTCCTTGTATTTTAATTCTGTATTGTTGTATAACTGGCTCTCCTTTTCACTATTCTTCTCAGTACTTTTTAATCAACATTAGCACTGCATAGGTTATCTTTTGTCGTTTTTTTTTTTATTGTGGATTTTTTTTTTTCTGTGTAGGCACTCCTGAACAATTTATGGCTTTGTACCTGGACGGGACTTTATTGAGCAAAAACATGGACACGTCGAACTTTGCCCATGTCATCTTCCAGAATGTGGGGAAAAGTTATTTGCCTCACGCTGCACTGGAGTGTCACTATACCCTGACACAGTTCATCAAACCACATCCTAAAGACTGGGTTGGCATATTTAAGGTGAACAATCGTCAGTGTTATCAAAGCATCTAAATGGAAAACAAAATGTAAACGACTACTAATTTTGTTGCAGAATGGTGTATTCTGGTTCTTTGACTACAAACTATTGTATTTTAATCTTGTACTGGTCAGTTCCTCCAGACAGCATTGTGCATCAACCACTTTACTGAACTGGTTGATCCACTTTGTGAAGGTACTGCTTATAAGAATGTTTGCTTGCAGCTTCTCAGACTGAAGAAGTCTTTTGGACAAAAGACAAAATATTTCAACAATGAAGAACTTGTCCAGAGGACCCGACTCTACCTTTTTAGATTTAATGAGTTAGGTCTGGGTTCTTGAGCATACATCAGGACTGTTTCATATTTTGGCTCTCCAGTTGCATCTTAACATCTATACATCTGGAATAGGGAATATGTTAAATGTTGCCTTACAAATGTGACACTACACACAGAAAAAGACAGTTACCGGTAACTTAAACAGTTGAAACGGTACAAGTTCAGTCTTGAGAAAAACTAAAGACTATTTCTTGTATTACAATGATGAGCTTGGTAGGAGGAATGGAGTATTTTGGCCCTTATCTCTTTGAGTGTCCCACATGGATCTCATTATAGGGAGTGCATTCAACCCAGTACAGTGGCAGTAATTTATATTAGCCTTGTCTGAAGTGTAGTGCAGCTCTACTTGACCATCATGCTTTTTATCTACCAGAGGTGAGATGAAAGCTTAGATTAGTTGACAATATATTAAAAGAAAACACAAACTTGATTAAATCTTTTTGGCTTTCTTTCTGTTTGATTACACTTCTTGTGTTAAGCGTTTGTCTTAGGGTTGAACTGAAGAATTAAAAACGGAAATATCCACAGCCAAATCATTTTGTTTGCATGAGTGTAAGTTTTTGAGGGTTAAACAACTGCTAAATTACTGTAGTGATTATATAATGTCCATTTGATTCCATTAGATTCAGTGTTTCCTCTAGTTAACTTGACATGGCGAGGTGCTCATCTCATCCATGATTTTTGTTGACGGGGGGACAGAGACATGTCTGAGCACAGCTTGTACCAACAGTTTTTGAACGAGAGCGGGTGTGTGTATGTACAGACAGGGTTTTTTTTGGGGTGGGTTGGGGGTGTTCGGTGTGAGAGAAGAGGCAATGTGAGCGCTGCCTTTTGCGTTTTAGCTAGAGCGCCTGTATTGCATGTCACTAGCTTAGCGCTATGTCAGTGCCGGGAGGGGACGGGGTTCGGTTTGGTAGGTGGGGTGCTCTGTTCCGTTGACCGGGTGGAGCACCCCGCTTGTATAATGGTAGGGGAAACACAGAGATTGTACAAGCAGACTTATAAAAAAGTAAAATAATCTAAATGATAGTCATAGTAAAATGTTTATTTTTATTTCTCTCTGAGGTTTATATCAGTATTTTATTGGCTTGAATTGTTGGAAAGTTTAAAGTAATTTGTTCTGAGACTACTGATGTCTTTAGTTAGTTGAGCGTTTGTGTTTTATGCTCTCTTTGTTTAGGGAAAAATATTTATTATAATTTTATTATTTATGAAGTATTTGTAAATGTGTGAGTACAAAAAATTGTCACAACCTCAGGGAGACTCGAGGCCATGTTAGGTTAGAGAGTCGGATAAGGGTATTATCTTGATACTGTTCAAATTCTAGATCAAACGCTCAGTTTTACCTGGGTTCCTCGGTGCTTTGGAACAGACTCCAGGTAGACACCAGCTGGCAGTGTCAATCTTTAAATAAGTAGTTTTAATCTTGTCTGAGCTGCAAAATTTTGTTAGTAAATGTTGAGTGTAGGATTGTAAATCAAGTAATCTTTTTGATGGTGCTGACAGATTAATCTTTTGGAGTCAACCACTTTAATTTACATTGATACTGATACCTGGATGTAATGTGCATCAAGTTGGGTTTTATTTCTTATGTAACAAATTTGGTCAAATCAGATTCACTCTTAAATTTGTTCTGTAAACACTTTATCTAGCAACCTTTGATATTTTCTTTCATGATCCATTACATCCATTGCTTGACTTTTAAAAATGTGTCACTGGTCAGTTGACTGAATTGTGATTTGTCAGAATGCTGGATTTTTGCAAATATTTTTTTTGTTTTGTTAAAACCAGTCTTCTGAAATATAAAATAAAACATCTTTTAAATTGATCATATAATAAATTCATGATTAACTGTGTTACTGAAGATAAGTAGATATTGGGAAAACAAAACCTTTTCTGCACTGCAACATGAGCAGCAGTCTCTTTTATAAAGGATTGTTGTTGAGGCAGGTTGTCTGTGTGGTTCAGAGAAAAGAGCTTTATAATTAAACTGTCTCCGAGCACATCCTTCCTGCATGATTCATTAACAACTCTCTCCTGAATCCATTCAGTCTGACTGGCACACACTGACTATGCATTACCTCCTGCAGCAATATTCCCACTATTTTCTGTCTGCATTCATACGGTATGGTTTTATTAAATGTCAGTGAAAAGCAGGGTTAGACATAAAGATATTCAGAATCTAGTTGTCTACCAAAAGTTTTGGTTATTTGCAATCTTCACAACAAAGGAGGTAATAAATCTCGAGTACAATGTAATTTAATAAGTATATTGCACAATGTATAAAGTTTACTATATACAAATTTTTTCAGTCAGCCATCTTGTGAACTGCTTAGTTTCCAAGCTACTGAGAGGCAGACTCTTTCAGGAGCTGCTGGAGTGGAGCTTCCTCGTTCTCCTCGTCATCAGACGCTGCAAGAGAGGCACTCGTAGCATATTTAAAATTCAGGGATTAAAGAAAAAAAAATCTTGACTGAATTTTTTTCTACACCTAGAGGTCACTCCACCCACACACACACACACAATACCATGCATTTGAGAGCTTTTTCCTGCATACGGGTCACTTCCCAAAGGTTTTCACATAAAGAGGAGTATGCTGTGTACATGACCTTAGTAAAAGTACACAGTATAGTGTTCTCTAATGAAGCGTTGAAGTTGTGAGAATACTTTTAACCTGCAACATTTAGATTCTTAAGATGGACATTCTGAAGGAAGAGAGGGGTTTTGAACAACTTTTCTGTAGTTTTGTCATTTCAGTGTTTTCAATTGAAGGAGATTGTCAGGTATATATAAAAAAATATATATATAGGAAGTCCTTTGCAGAGTATAATGAACTTACAATTATTTTATTTAATTTTGCCAAACTGACAGATTCTCCCCTAAAATGACTGTTTCATTGAAAGAGATTATATTTACAGGATTTCAGTTCATGTAGTCTTTTAATACTATTTTTCATATTTTATCATTTATTAAATTTTGTTTATCACAGTTAGTCACCTCTCAGTATGGTTTTTAATATAACCAAATTTAGCACCTCTAAACTGCCACAACATCTTGTTGTTGCTAAAACACTGTGCAGAACTAAAATTTTCAGATATTCATGATAAACTACAAACACCTGAAACTGACTCTGAGAACTTCATGAGTTTGGGAATCAAATTAAAGTTAAACGGAGACACACATTTTTTTTATAATCTGGGACATAAATATTAATGTTTTAGTGTTAAAATTGTCTAATTATAAGAACCAAAGCAGCAGATGCAGCCCCCTCTTTCACGGTGAGAGATGAAAACAGGCTGAGCGTGCTCAGACCTGGAGTTTGGTCTCACATGTGCAAGTTGCACAGGTCTGTGCGGCGATGACGGCACTCAGAACACATTGTCCTTGAAAATTAGTCCAGCAACACAGACTGGTGCTCTCACCTGCAGTCTCTCTTTTGAGTTGGGAACACGACACACTCCCACCTTGTATCAGGCGGTACGACCTGCTCTGATTGGGTAGAACTGTGACTCTGGTTCTCTTCATTTGTTGAAACTGGCGCTCATTTAATCTCTGTATCATTATTAGATTGGATGACTTTAAAAAGACCGAAACAAAACACATTTTTTCGCCCTTTTCATTTTTAAAGATGATGGAAATCCATCACAGCAATGGAGAGCTTTAATCTGTCTATTTCACTTGGTTGTCCACCGACAACCTCGAGGAGAGATCTGGTTGTCTGAGACAAAAATAGTTTGTGTTGGACGAACGGAAACCGGACCCTTGAAAAGTCAACCAAAAACTGGAGCTACCATTATTCACCGAGGGTCTAATTTTAGTTTTAGAGCTTTTCACCCTTGCTGTCCGTCATGTGTTATTGCTTCAGTCACAAATCTAAAAGTTCTTTAGTGTAGCCCTACACTGTGTCGTTTCTTATTCATACCCCCACACATACACACCAGACTGCTTTAAGTTCCTCCGTTTTCACCAAGCACCACCTCTGCAGCTCTAATGAGTGGGCTGGGAAGGGCTAGCCTTCAGTATCCACACTCACTAACTAGGCACATGTTTTAATTGCTTCCTGTTCTTAACTGCTGGAGACTGGAACTGCATTGCAAAAAAAAAAAGACGGGGTACGTGTTGTTGGAGCACTGGAGTTTTTATCTGTAGCTCTGATGAACACTCAACATTGTAGCTGCAGGCAGTTTGTGCACAGCCGAAACCTTCATTAAAAGAAATGTCTTGCTGCTTCTGTTCAGAGACATTTTCTTGAGATTTGCTTGGATAAATAACTTTTCTCATCGCACTGCCATATCTATGTTTGTGACAGGCTAGTTTTCTGGATTTGTTGTGGATGCACGTGTGTGTCTGTGTGTGCGCACACTAAAAAGCAGCCCGTTCAATGCGACGCTGATTTCTCTTGACAGTTTTATGGCACCAGTCTGAAGTTATGGATGTATTTTCTGCACTACCCCCCTCATTGGACATCGGTTAACAACACATAAAATACATTTAATTACATTTTGGTTTTCATTTTCAAGTCGCCTGTGTATAAAATTTTCACCTATTTTCGTCTTCCTGTTAAAAGTGAGTTGTTGCTTCGTTTCCACAGTTGGGCTTGTTCATGACGAGGCAAACTGTGACCAGGAGGTGATTGAAAGATGATAATTTTTTCTTTTTGGAAGACAAATAGGCATGCTCCTACGCTACTATTGCATGGCAGATTTAAAGCGGATCATTAATTCAGTGAAGTACCTCCAGTTTGACATATTTAGGAAGTGACATAGCTTAGATAAAAAATACCTCCCAGTTGGTCCACCATTGTTATTAAAGTACACTGATGTGGTTGGAGCATCTGGTTTAATAAGTTTCCTTCACTGTGACACAGGTTGGTTGGAGCACAGCAAGGGACTATTACACATTCCTGTGGTCGCCTCTGCCTGAGAACTACGTGGAAGGCAACGCAGTCAACAGAACCGTGGTCTTTCAGGGTAAGATCATACCATGATTTTCTATAACTTTGACACCTTTTAATGATCACACATAAGAGAGCTGTTCTGAGGACTGAAAGGTTTAGGACTGAATATTGGGAAATGTAACACTATCCCCTCACATCTACGTCCTGGCGTTAACTACATCTGAGTTTGTGTGTTTTTTTTTAATTCAATACCACTTCATAAGGAATGTAAAGTGGGTTGAATGGAACATGTTGGCTTTCCCTTTATAGATATTTTTTTATTACTTTACTTTACCAGGAAGAATTCCATTGAGATCATCAATCTCTTTTACAAGGGGTATGAACCACATCATTTTCTGCTTCTTTTAAACATTAGTTTTAACTCTTGGTACTCTTCACATTAAAACATTTCACACATTAGACATTTCACACATGTCTGCATCTGATCTGTTTAGAACTTAATTGCTGGTATTTTTATATTAGCTGTTTTTTAAATTTTTATATATATATATATATATATCTTGTGTGATTCCTTGCACGGCTGGGTCATATCATATCGTTCACGATAATACCGGTTTAAAAAAAAAACTTGACCGGGAAAATACATTTTATCATTATATGCTAATTTCATGGCGTAAATACGTCATCCCAGCGGTCAGCAGATTACGCTCACGTGGTTCATGCAGCGATATTCAAATTGCAAAGGTGAAGGCATGAATAGACGCATCTGCGCTGAGCACTGTTTGTACCAACAGTTTTTGAGCCAGTCAGCGCGAGGGAAGACGTTGCTATTAGCTTTTTAGCTAGCACGCTGCTAACTTGAAGCTATGTCAGTGCAAGCGGGTGGGGCGGAGGTGCATGTGGCTTGGTTCGTTAGACTGTGCACTCGGTTCTGTTGATGTGGCGGGACACCCCGCTTGTATAATGGTAGGGGAAACGCTGAATGCATCGACCACCGATTTATGATCAAGTTGGACCACGGAGCCTTACCTCAGTCTGTCTGTGCACTAACAGCAACTGTGCAGCTCAAACTTCGAGAGCAGCTGCTTTCATGAGGATCAGGAAATTGTCCGATGGCTGTTCTGCCAATGATCAGCAGTCCTTTCAGGCAGCATTTCATTTGTTTTCAACATTTATCACAAGTTTTGGAAGTTATCTCATTTAAAGGCAACTTTTTTTTCTTGTATGTTACATTTATGCAGCTCTTAAGCTTTCATTTTATTTAGTTTATTTGGGAACTGCTCCTGCACTTCAGTTTTTGTGGTGGATTTTGTTGATCTATATTTTGTGCAGACTTTTTCAATCTAAATAGCATCAGGATCATTTTTATGTTTATACTTTTAGACAATACTTTACTAAATAAAGTAATTGCAATAAAATTAACCCTTATTGTTTTTAGTTTTTTTCAGTTTTTATATAATACTGCAAAGCAACATGTTAAGTTAATTTTGTCAAATGAATAACTGATTTCTTTTTTTCTTTTTTTGTTAGATCACAAAATTTATCACTATCGTCCTAATGCTCTGAAATATCACAGTATTGTGTTTGAGACATTGCCCACCCCTAATTCCTTGTGTATGTTCCTTTGTACTGAAATTTTGGCCCAACAATTTCCTGCGCGATCGTTAAAATTCTAATCTTCGTAAAAGTGTGCTAGTATCGATCCGACGCACACAGGTCTGTGTTCAGGGTTATGGGTAAACATTTGAAATTTGATTTGCTTCTCTTTTGTTCAAGTTCACTGACTGCTTCTCTCTCTCCAGGATATTATGTGCCCAATGACGACGGTGAGTTCTACCAGTTTTGCTATGTTACCCACAAAGGAGAAATCCGGGGGGCTAGCACACCATTCCAGTTTCGCGCCAACAGCCCTTCAGAGGATGAGCTGCTCACTGTTGAGGATGAATGCAACTCTGACATCCTCGTCGTTACCACCAAGGCTGGCCTCCTTGAGGTAATTTACTCCCCACACAAGTGTTGATATTTGCAAGTTCAACCATTTATTTCGTTGTAAATGAGCACAAATGAAAAGTGTTAACTTCATGGACACCTTTGCTGTGTTTGTTTGTTACGCAGCAAAAAGTGGAAGAAGCTCAGAAAGAAAGGGATGAGCTCCTCAAAAACATGGCCCTTCTGCAGCAGGAGAAAGAACAGCTGGAAGTGGAGAAGGAGAGCCTGCAGAAGGAGTGTGAGCAAGAGAAGGAGATCTGTGCTCAGCTGAGGAGAGAGAGCCAAGTAAGCACAGTCCATTAGAAGAGCAAATGTCTTAATTGTTGCAGTTTTAAAAATAATCTGTTGACTTAATCCGTTAAATTTAAAATGCTGCTGTTCATTTTATTTGCTGTAGACATGCTACTTTAAATTGGCAGCAGATATTGAAATAATTTATAGTTTTAATGTTCTTGTCTTGGCCGTGCAGTCTCTTAGCACCCCCTAGTGCAGCAGTCCAATCACTCAGAGCAGTCCAAACTTGTGATACGCTGGAAGAGTAAATCACGCCCACACAAATATAAATGTCTACATTATCAAAGTCGTCGTTCCACTTTTTACAGCATAACATTAAGTCTTAAAAGCACTGTCAGTAATAATTCATCTTGCCGTCCTGTGCCATGAACCTTCTGGTTTTACAGGTTTTGCAAATGAAAATATGATTACTGCCTTTGTGGCTGTTAATTTTATGACTTTATTTTTATATGATTTTTTTTAAATGTGGTGTGGATGTAATACACATTTCTTCCCATAAGCAAATTGTAAAACTTTTATTTTGTTTTTCCTTTTTATGTCATTTTCTGAGTTCAGAACTTTTCTCTGAGTCATACCTTTTATTCTGATCTAGACATGCATTTCAAGGACAATAAATTTTTATGCTTTGTACACGTTTTCTACAAGTTTAAAATCGAAGGCAGAAGTGGAAACCTACCTACCTCAAGCAAGAACTGCTACTTTGTAGTTTAACGTTTTAACAGATTGATTCATATTGAGCTTGACACAAATATACAGACATGTGTTATTATTTAGAGTTATTCTTTATAAAAATCACCAAGCTGACATATTTAGTCATTTTATCTTCTGTTTGTCTCACAGGAGGTGCAACAGTCGTCCCAGGCCCTTCAGGAGGAGAAGGAGGAGGTGAAGAGGACACTGGAGCAGACCACAGCCAGAATTGTACAGTTGCAGGAGGATCTGATGGAAGTCACACAAAAAGACTTTCAAAAGGAAACTGAGCTTTACAAGTGAATGACTTTTTGTTTCATCTGTACAGTAATTATGATGTAATCATACTCAATAAATATTGTAATAAAGCAAGACTTAACATGTTTTTTTTTCATGTTCTCTCTAGTCTGAAAGATAAAGTGAAGAAAGTCACAGTAGAGAAGGAGGCTCTTGAGTCTCACCTGAAGAATGAGAAAGATGAAAAGGAACTTTACAAGGTAATGTGCAGTCCCCCCCCCCCCCCCCCGTTTGTTTGTTTGTTTTCAAAGTTTCTTTAATGCCTTTCCGCCAAAATGTCATTATAAAGTTTGTGGTTGGAGCTTAACGAGATGGCATTCTAATTTAAAAATGAATCCAATATACCAATATCAAACTGTAATGAGTTCAGAGCCTGATATTTTGGTCTTACGTGTTCATTCTGTGACTAACATTTGAAATGGTACGTTAAGTAGTTAACTTGGTGACGGCTTTATAATCAATGTATTGCGTTGTTGTCGTTTTAGGATCACCAAACTTAGACCTGCAGTTTGTCAACATTTTTATTTATTTTTTAATCTTTCCTGTTTTCCACTTTATGCTCCTGGGTTTATTGTGTGTAGTGGAACATTTGAGGCTAAACAGGGCATGCCTTATTCTGTCTCCTGCTCCGCCTGCTGTTTATGCGTCTTATGTTGTGGTGGGCGCTGCACAGGAAGTGGGAGAGCCACGTACTGTACTGTCGCCACAGAAATGGGTCTAAAAGCACAAATCTAATTTAACTTTGCGCCACCACACTTGGGCAGTTGCTGAAGGACAACTTTATAGACTCATCTTAATCTCTGTTTTGTGATTGAGGTCATGCAACATTTGTTTTAATGGTCTCATTTTAATACACTCTTTGAAATATGGTTGTTTACAGCATTGACTGAACCAAGAGGCAAAAAGTTTGTGTTATAAAATGATATTTTACTACTACTTTGGTGTGTATTTGTCTGTATTTCATTTTTACAAATCCATCAGATTCATCTGAAAAATCGAGAGCTGGAAAACACCAAGCTGAGTGCTGAGCTGCAGATGCTGAAGTCCGTGGATGTCAACAAGGAAAACACCATTGCTCAGTTTAAAGAGGAGGTGGGCCGCCTGCAGACATGCGTCACAGAGAAGGAGAAACAGTACAGAGAGATCCTGGCCAAAGTTTCCCCCTTGGTATAAACAAATCTCCTTTGTTTATTAAAATATTACACATTGGTAGAGTAATACACATAATAAACTTCACTATTAAATGGTACTTTCATGTATATTAATAATAAAAAGAAAAATAATAGAAATGCCGTTCCCTAATACGGCATTCATAGCAACTGATACATTTTGTGTAAAACATTTGCCTCGGGCAGGGAGACATGAAGGCCCTGAAGGAGCAGCTCCGGCAGAAAGAAGAGCAGCTCCAGGCCAACCAGCAGCAGTCCTCCCTGTTGGCTGCTGAGCTGAGAGACGCCTCAAGTACTCGAGACCGCACCATGTCCGAACTGTACCACATGAAACTTGAGGCGGACGCCCTACGCAAGGCCAAAGCTGAAGCTCAGGCTCATTGTGTCCGACTGGAGCTTCTGGTCGAGCAAATGAAGGCTGAAGCCAAACAGGAAGCGGTGAGAACCAGGGAAAACAGAGTTTTATGTCAAATTTTACATACAACTGTACAGTAGATGTGGTATACTGTAAATACGGTAAAGCAAATAAAACAAACTGTGTTCTTTACTGAATGCGAGTACATTTAGTCAAACTCATGTAAAAAATTTTAATATTTTATTTATAGTCATAGTCCTTACCATTGGTCAGTTACCGTCGTCTTAATTACATGGATTTGTTCTGCTTTTTGTACAACCAGGTTAAAGTGGAGGAAGAAGCTTCCATGGACCCGGCTGTCGTGGCAGAGCTACAGAGAGAGGTGGAGGACCTGAAGCTGCGTTTGCACATGGCAGCAGAGCACTACAAGGAAAAATACAAGGAATGCCAACGACTGCAGAAACAAGTGCTGAGACTTTCTGAACAGCAAGGGGTAGGCTCTGCAAGAAACCAGTTCAGTTGTGTCAGCTAAAGTGGAAGAACAGAGCATTTTATTTTTGAGCGCCTATTTATCTTAACAAAAATACAAGATAAAAAGATCTTGATATCAAAGATATGTATGTTTATAAGCTTTACAGAGAGCAAACAACATCGAGAATTATGTTCTAACCATCTGGTTTTTGTTTTATTCATAGGAGCTGAAGAAAAGCTCAGCAGTCGAAGCAGCTGCAGTTCCTGCATCAGGGAGTCCAGACACATCTGTGCCAGGTATCAGTTGTGTGTACGAATATTAACATAACTGCTCCAAAAAGTCTTTAAAAAAATGCTATTTTGTATTTAATGTTTTACTTTTTAAATTGACTCGAATAATAGTTTTGTTTTAATAAATTGTTTTATTTTTGTTATTTGCATGCTTAAGTAGAAAAAGGTGGAGCAACAAAAAATAACCAAGACATTAAACACGAACTTACAATCTTGAAGACTTTTGTCTGAAAATATTAATACATTTCCATTATAAGCTATGATTACATTAGATTTTATATCACATTTGAAACCAAATCCAGATTTACTAGTTTGTTACTCATTGTTGAGACTTCTTAATTTATTTTACAAACATAAAAGCTCAAAAGCAACAGATTGATTGTTTTGGACGGATGGTCCCTTTTTGCATGAAAAGCCTCTGAGAGTTCAACAGGAGGTTGGCTTGAAACGGCAGTGAAGGCTGTTTATGGGGCGGATCTGGTTGGCAGGCCACAGACTGATGAAGTCTTCTGGATGAAACTGGTCCAGATGACATGATTTAACCTTTTTTGTTGTTATCTACCTCCATGATTGAGCGTTCAAAGATTTTTTTTCGAAAGCAACATGTTTAATAACTGTACCTTTTACTCTTGAAAATGCTTAATAGGAACACCACCAGTCACAACTGTGGTTGCTTTAACAGTCTCGCTCGTTTTCTGACTGTACAGGCAGTCCTGGTTCTGCTGATCCAATGTTGGAAGCTATCATCCAGGAGAAGCTAAAAGGCATCAGCAGGGAGGCATGTGACAGGAATGACAAGTACAGGAAATGCAAGCAGATGCTGATGGTAATGTATACATGTATTTTTTGAGTTTATTTGCCCAATATGCAATAAGCTTCTGTAGTTTAAAGTTGTGGTATGGTGTCATGGAAGCCTGATGCTCAATGCTCATCCCTCTATAGGAAGAAAAGGAGCGTAGCTGCATGTTTGCTGATGAGTTGGCCAAGCTGGAGTTGAAATTTAAGGAGCAACTGAAGACCAACGAGAATCTGAAGTTGCAGCTGGCAGAAGCAGAAGATCGTTACAAGGTTGTTACAGCCAGAGCGCAGGAGCTTTGCATGATGCGAGCCGACGCTGGTGTTCTGGTGTGTTCAAAGTAGTTCGGTCAGAGTGGTTTTTTTACTTCTATGGTTGGTGTAGCTCAAGTATTGAGACTTTGTTGTATTTCCCCTTGAACACGGTTGCTCTGACAGTGTTGTTTATGAGCAGGCCTGTCTGTGAGACAACATTTTACTGCTGTTTATGTCAGGCTCTGGAGACGAGCAAAGCTTGGCTCGGGGGAGTCCTCTCTTGTTGCACAGCTAATGCTGTGCTTGGCTCAGGTCAGGCCAATATTGGCTTCATGTCTGAAGAATTCAAACAGGTTATTTTACTTTGAACAGTTCTGTACATAAATCAGACTTTAGCTCATGAAAAGTGTTTATGGCTCGGATCAGTTTAAGTCAAATACCAAGGTCTGACTGCATTTTAGTGACAAGTTTTTCAACCAGCACAGCATTAAGTGGAACAATAGAAGACGTCTTCTCATTTCTGTTTTTGTGTCCCATGTTTATTCCAGGGCCAGGTAGCTGAGAAAGGACGGGAGCTGAAGGAGCTGAAGGACACGTTTGCGCTCGTTGTGAAGGAGAAAGAAAAACTAGAGGTGGTCAGTGACAACTTTTATACTGACTTTTACAGACTTCTCTAAAAATTCCCTCAAGTATGCCATGCTCCTGCCATCTTTCCTCATTCAGCCTCGTCTGTGTTTAAAATGCCTCTAATTGTAGACGCAAACTAAATGAGTTCTTAAATCCCACTCCATTACTTTGGACCACAGTAAGGTTCTTCCAGACCTAAATTGCCAATTCTAGTTAATGCTGGTACAGTTCATAGGAGTGGAGTCATACTTTTAGAGGTTTAGACTGTAAATTGTCTTGGCGTCATCAAATGACATTAATAAAACAGTTTTACTCTGTTAAAATTGACAGCTTTGTTTAATTAGGGGTTAATTAAACTGATTGTGTGTGATGGTAAGTAAGAGTCTACAGGCTTGCTGAGATACAACACAGACGTATTCCTTACTTTGACTTTTTTATATAATGTGTCCGCTGTAACGTTTTGTTTTGATTGCTGCTACCTTCCCCAGGATCTCCAGAGGAGTAGCAGCAAGAAAGATGACCAGGGCGCCACTGAGAAAATCAGTTTGGAGGACCTGTCCAGTATGCCTTTAATCCTTCAATACCCTGTTCCTTACACCCATGATACCCCAACTCCTCTGCTGGTTTCTCAGAGCCCTAGCAAGCTGCACTTTGGGAATCCTTACTCTATCTCTGACTCAAAAGGTAAAACTTTTCTGGAGGTTCTATATATTTTCCACAAACTGTTAAGAATTATTATTATTTTTTATTTATAGTAGTTACATTTATGAATTACTGTATGTCCCAGCAGATGAGCGGGAAGAGGAGTTGTTCTTGGATGATCAGCCGCTCAAGCTGCCCCCTGTGGGTCCGCCCTCCTGGGACAGCAATGTGGTCTGTATCCAACCCACCCGCAACCACAGCCGGCCAGAGGACCACGAGGAGTCAGAAGAAAATAACAACGTAATGCTCCCTCCACGCAGTTTAATATTTACAAACCGCCAGTCGTTTTTCAGCTGCGCAGCACAGCTCTGACATTGCGACTCAGTCTAGTTCATGTACAGTGTAATATAAAGTCTGAATGATGCTGCAGTGAGACGTTAGGTAATCATCTTCTTAATGAACAACAGTCAGATCTGGATGTCTCCGACTTATTCTCATTTGAACTATTGAACTTGTTTTTCATAACATTGTTCTGCATATGACATACAAGAAACATAACATTTTCACAGTATATGCTTTTTTAAACATTACCCTGGCACCAAAATGTGGCTCCAACAGTGAGAGCATCGAATTAATATTTACCAACTTTCTATTTTTATATGTGCAAAGACCAATACAAACTGTTTTTAAAGATTTTTTTATGAAAATGGCTGAAGTTTAAATTCATTCTGCCTTGTTCATTGTTTCATTTCCCTTCTTTCTTTAAGGTTAATACTGTTGAGCAACCCGCAGCATCAGAGACTCGTAGCTCATTTGTGAATGATGGACAAAATGCCTTCTGCTTTGATCCCAGGTAACAACACCCCCCATGTTCCCACATCTCCCATAAATGCCATCCAGGTTTACCACTCCCCAGTCTGCGTGTTGTAACTTGTCTAACATGTTAGCTCCACACACCCAAATTTGTTGGCATTAGTTAAACAGCAGACCACCCACTTGGCATCAAGACAGATGCTCTTTATTAGCCCCCACTTGTGGTTTGCTCAGATCATTGCCTGACTGCTACCTAACCTAATACAGTCTCTCTCTATGTTCGTTTTCCCACCCTGCTGTTCTTTCTTCACGTCGTAGCATGGACATGAAGCGATGTCCGCTCTGTGAGGTCATCTTCCCCCCCAACTATGACCAGAGCAAGTTTGAGGAGCACGTGGAGAGCCACTGGAAAATCTGCCCCATGTGCAGCGAGCAGTTCCAGCTCGACTGCGACCAGAAGGTGTTCGAGAACCACGTGCTCACTCACTTCGACGGCCACCTGCTCAACTTTGACTGACGGCACAGGAAATGAGCACATCCAGTCCGCCATGTTTCCGTCAGCCACTGAAACGAATCACTGAAACTCTCTTCTGCATGCGACTGTGTGAAGATCCTCTCTTAAGGACCATTCTGACTTTTGCTTTCTCACTTAGAGATCCACTCGGAGAATGATGATCTAATTCAGTATGTAATGCGGGGCTTAAGAATCAGTTGGCAAACTTTTCTTTGTTAGTTTAAAGTTTCCATTCATTTAGATTAAAAAAGGTGCGACTGTTTAACATAAATATATATTTTAATGATTTCAAATGGACTTTGTTCTCTGTTAGACTACAGGTTGTAACTTATCAGGGAAAGAGCTGAGCGTTTACCAAACTGACATTTAAAACAGACAAATGCCTTCCCCTTTTGCTTTCTTGTTCAAGTCAGCGGTTTCTAGAGAGCAGCTTTGATGCACTATATTCAGTCAGGGAGAAATCGTCAGCAACTGTATCCATACATGATTATACAATATATCTTCAGATCATCTATTTTAGACAATTTAAAGACAATATTGTGACAGCCTCGATACATTGTGCTTTTTCAGTAGGTTTCTTTTGTTTGTTTTTTGGGATTCCAATTATGTCTTAAAACGATGTTTTTCATATCGGCTAATCTGTGCATGCAAAGCTTTTGTTTAATTTCCCGTTTGCTTTTCTTTTGCAGGAATAAGTTATTTCATTCATAATTTTTTTCTTTTTCATTAGTTTAGTGAGTTTTATGTATCTAAAATAAATAAAGTCTCTTCAAAGTTGAATTGTTTCCACATCTAATTATTAACCTGGAGCCAGAAGAACATATAAACTTTTATTGTACAATTTAAAACAAAAGTTTACATGAAGCAGCTTTTTAAAGAAATACAGAACATCTATTTTTTAACTTGTTTTTGTTTCACACAAAAGAAGTCACAAAAATCAATTTAATGCACTTACAAGGTGATGATACATTCACTGTACATTACGTAGTTCTAACACTTCCTTCCATGCCGACAGTATGTTGTCGCAATTCTCAACTGATTTTGAGATTTGGCAACACTCACGGCATGAAGATTTTATTCAATGACAGTCCCTCGTAAAAAAAAGTTGGAACAAAATAAAACACAATAGAACATAAATATATTTTCATCAGAGTCCAGTCAACGGGCTACTAAACGTTTCATCATGGAGAAGTTACAACTGAAATAAACTTGAGCAGGGAAAACTGAAACGACAACTCATCTGAAGGTAATGAGCTAAAGTGGAAAAATTTGTTAACAGTTTTATTTTGTATATTTAAGCACAAACTTACTGAAACAACAACAAAAAAAAATGTTTTTGTTGTGACTCCCAAAGAGCTGCTCTAAAGATTTGGCCTACAACAGATGAACTGGTTTATTTATCAAATACTCTTCGTTTGCTGTAGACGCTTTTTACAAGTCTTATTCGTCTTCTTTTGTCATTTATGTGATCAATGTTTTTAAATGTCACACCATGCTGAACGACACCGTCTTCTGGCTTTCTTACTGTTTTTGGCAAAACAAACGCACCAAATGTCTCTGCAACGAGTTTCCAACACTGTACATAAAAATCTAATTCTTTAATACTCAAAAGGCTATTATAAAGAGATTTTGTATTAAGCTAAAACTTGAAAACTTTTTGGCTTTCTGAGTTACAGTAAACAGCAGATAAAGAAAAAGTAGTCCTCAATAAACAATCCCATATCCCAACTTTTCTTTAAACATCCTGTTGGGTCAGAACAACCTATTTATCATGCAATAAACAGTAAACATCGGAACTATTATTTAACACAATTTTGAATAAAAAGTAGTTTATTTATGCTTACAGATTAGTTTATTTTCATTAACGTACCTGTTTCCAAGTCTTTTGAAAATAATATTTAGTTCCTTGCAAATATTTTTATCATCACTGCATCTTTAGGAATAAAAAATACCGTTATTTTGGCACTAAAGAGTTGCAGGTGTTTTTCAATGACAGAAATATGACTGTTAATGTCAATGAGCTGAATTTATGGCTATGGTATTTCCTTTGAATCATACCACGGTCTTAAAAATGTTATCCAACACTATAATGAGCAAACGGAGCAGCCTGCCCTGAAGCTACATGAGTTCTCGGACTAAAACAGTTTAAATGTGTACAGTTTTGGAATAGTTTACAATCCAAGGCAGCTACTGTTGAAATCACACAGAAAATCTCACAATACTATAAAACACCGGACATGAACGACGTGCAAGTGTCTACTCGTCACGTAAACACTAGAGAGAAGAGCAAAATGCTCATTGGCTTGGCAACATCTATAGAAAAGTGCGTCAGTCCCTTGCTGTAAAAGCAGCAAGAAAAATCTCTTAGTCCCACAGAAAGTGATCGAAAACACAAAGAACAATAAAAGAGTTCTCAGTAAAAATCATTTTTGCAACATTTGGGCAGGACTTTTGGAGCGGAAATGCTTGCAGAAAAATGACCTGAGATAATCGTTTGGCGCTCCAACTCAAGAACTGCAAAAATGACCCACAAAAGGGGAGGCCCTTTAAATTCTTGTCATTCAAAAAGGAAAACATACAACTGATTATTATTATTCACACCCAGGCTGATGGAATTTAATGCTATAAAATGTTTTTTTCATTCAAATCTGTCATATGTTAGTCTCAGAAGAGAGACAGCTTGATACCACGGGTAAAATTAGGTGCGTTTTTTGCCATTTCTCCTTAGCAACAAAGAGCTTTACGTGCAAAATACAAAACACTGAACTTAAGAAAAAATAAACAACTTGAAGAGAATTTAAAGTAGAATACTATGTCATGCTATCAAAACCTAGTGTTGTTGCAAAAAGGGTAAAAAAGGTGGGTAGGAGAAAGCAGGACCAAAATAGGAAAGTACTGCTGGTGATGGTGGAGTTCTGATAGGTGCTGATGAGAGCTGAGAGGCTTCAGACTCCTACTGCTGCATCTTTCGAAGAACATCTGCAGAGACGGGTGGGTGAAAGTTGATGGTGTGGTGGCGGAGACCCTGAGACGTTTTGTAGCTCTTCCCACAACGGCACTTAAAAGGTTTGCGCACCCTGATCTGTGTTCGGTGGCCATTCTTGGCGTGATATTTGATTCCATTCACATTCTGTAACGAGACAAGTCACATTACATTAGACCAGGGGTGCCCAAACTTTTTCCCTGAGAGGGCCTAATTTAAAATCTATCAGAGGGCTGCGGGCCCAATGCAGTAATACATGAAATACATACTTCTTTAAGTAAAGTCCATTTACTTATTATACAATTATTTACCCTTCCATTCTGTATAAAGAACATTACAGAACAGGCTGTGATGGTGGTGGGGTGGGGTCCTCCCCCAGAGAATTTTGAATAAAGTAGATGCCATTTTCTGCATTCTAGTGTATTTTACAAAGGTTTATTACAGTAGATTAACATGAAACAAAAGATGTAAACTCTGTTATTATTGAAATCTCTCTGACTGCAAAGCGTTCATAATGCAACACCACTGCAGCTCTGCAGGTAAGGGGCGTTCACTTCAGGACAAATGGAGGTTGCTGATTAGTCAGTTGCTAATGTGCCTACTGGACTGATTGACAGGTGGCGGGACTCGTGCAAGAAAAAAATAATCATAAGACTGTTGTCATTTATTCCATATTTATTCAACATTTATTCAATATTCAAGGGATATATATATATATATATAATGAACTGCTCTGGAAAGTCTTTCTTTTCTTTTTTACACCAGCAGCCAAAATGTTCCCTAACAGTGCTTTTCCTGTTGGTGTGCCTTTTTGTTTAACCCCTACCACCCACCACCTCCTGAAAAAAAATAAAATAAAGAGAAACGACTTGGAACATAGAGTTGTTGTCTTCTTAGCTTATTTTGAAATAATTTTACGTGGAAACTGGAACGTATGGTCACGGGTGAGCTCAACATTGGACTGGTTAAAAAGTTAGAAAATAAAAAGCTCTGCCAAGCAGAATTAGCAGCAGCACACATCTCTCTGTTTAATGAGGTTTTTCATCTGTGTGACTCAAGCTGAGCAAAGTCTCAAGGATCTAGAATCACAAAGCAGCAGCTGAAGTTAGCGCTTGTTGAGACCGTTTTCTCTGCTTTTTAAAAAGTGTGTTGTTGTGGGATGTGGGCCGGCAGAATGGAGCTGGGTGGTTGAATATTTAGAAGAAAAATCAAACATCTACCAGACAAAAAAAAAGGCATTTTTTGCCAAAAATACCCATCTCTATTGTTTGCAGAGTTATTATATTATGGTTGTTTGCAAGCACAAAAAGCAGCAGCTGTTAGCTGTAGCACTAGTGCACTTCATATCAGAATATTTCTGCTGTGCGATGTAAAACTGACAGTAGTAGAAAGATTTATTAAATATTGTTCAAACCTATATTAATTTTGGTCTACACCACACTCCGGCTAGCTGTTATCGCATCAATCTGGTCAAAATTAAACTCAGTTTCTTCAAACTAAGGTTGGTCAAAGAGCTATCAACTGAACAAGAAAGCTGTTAATTATTTTCTTTCCACAGAATGTCACTTATTTTGAAGTATGTCTTGTCCCTTTAAGACACAAGGCCCGACTCAGTCCTATTTATTATTTCATCCAGAGGTGTTGGTTATAAGTGGGACCTAAAAAATGCCTTTAGGAGAATATTGTTTCTCGAGATTAAACACCAAGATCTTTTGCTTATTTTATAGATACATTCATTTTGAAACACAGTACCTTATCAAATAATATTAACGCAAAGATAAAGGAACACTACACTCTGAAAGTACAGGTAGGATAGAGGAAATAATCTAGGAGTATCCAAATCCCTCTTGTAAATGAGTTCTCGTGGCTCAATGGGACTAACTTATTTAAATAAAGGTTGAATGAATGAAAAAATTGTTGTCATATTGTGCAATATCCTAAACTTCCTGATGTTTTTGGAGAGTTAGTAGTCACCAGAAGATGTTCTGTCCCCAACAGATGCTAACTGCAGTCTTCAACCTCAGACAAAGTCATTTCCTTTAACTCTGTCATTCACGTCAGCAAAGCAATTTTCTCAGGCTGCTCAGATTTGATCCCAACCACACACACCAGATGTGCATGGAAAATCGTATACAACTCCATATTACTAAGGTGGACTACATGTATGCATTTAAGTTGTTGTGCTGTTGACAAAAACTATTTTCCACAGTCAACAAAAACACTGTTTGACTCATTTTAGTGTTGATAGGAAGGCTACAAACATCACAGAGACGTCTTTTTAAAGGTATTTTTAAAGAACATACCTTGTATCTCTTTGTGCAGCCTGGAACAGGACAAGCAAAAGGCTTCTCATCTCCTCCATTCATGCTCATGGAGCTCAGGATAGACTTGGAGCTGATGGCACTCTCTGTGGTCCACGACTCATCACTGTCTGATGCCTCAAACTCGATATCTTCTTCATCACAGTCACTACCTGTGGAAATGGGAAAAAGGGCATTTTAACCACAGGAGGCCTTGATTTATGTTTAATGATTTCTTTGTGGCATTAACAATTCTAGTTTTTGAATAATCACGTTGACAATCATGGCTCCCCCATGACGTAACTTTTTTGTGATTTTAAAAATTACAAAAGTGTTGCGTCACAGTGGGGCCAATGGTCATTTTTGTATTTGCTAAGTTCACTTATTGTATTTTTCAACCTATAAGATACAGTTTTTTGCATAATTTACATACCCTGCAACTTATACACCAAAGCGACTTATTTAAGTTTTTTTCCCCATATTTATGAACCATCTCCGTGACCCAAAATGGAAAAAGCAGGTAAAAGATAATGGATGGATTTATAAACCAATTTTTTGCTGAGATATGATCGTTTTCATTCATTCTGACTGAAAATATTGAACACTACCATTTTCAACCACTAGATGGCATTTGAGTAGTATGGCATGCTGTTGTGTCATGTAATTGGTAAAAGAGGTTATTAATGACACATTTGGCTTGCCATAGCCTGCCACCTTCATCCAGCTCCAGGATAATGCCTGGAGCAACTGTCAAATCAGCTTCATTTCCCTGCGCTGCCCTGGCAAAATACAACTAATTTGACCATTGAAGTGCATTTATTAAGTAAAAGTTCAACTGAGACACACCTTTACTATAAAGTTGAGCAAATAAATAATTGTTTTAAGTGCTTATCTTGTTAAATTTTCAATAAATGCGCAGCGTTCCTTCTTCCAGATTTCCTCCCTCTGTGCGCTCCTGGAGCACCGAGGCAGCAAATACTTTTGAAATGCATAAGATTTTAACATTAAAGTGCATTTATTAAGTAAAAGTTCTACTGAGACACACTTTTGCTATAATTTTGAGCAAACAAATAATTGTTTTTTAATTGTTCATCTTGTTAAATTCTTGTTGAAGTTCTCCTGTGCACGCTCCCGTGGCCCCCGTTTGGCAGCCAATCGATTTTTGGCACAACACCGGCCCACATTTCCGGGTTGTCAGCGGTGATGCATCATAAATATGACTTATACAGCGAAGCGACGTATTTATGTTTTTTTTCCCACTTTATTAGACATATTTGGACTGATGCAACTCATACAGCGGTGCGGCGTGTATGGCGGAAATTACGGTATCTGTAGTGGCCACCTCGAACTGGGTTGATTTCAAAAGATAATTAGTTGATATACATCCAGTGATTACTTTCTGGGATTTTTGTCTCACTGGTTCACAAGATATTTTGCTAACGCTTCATACAAATAAGCACACAGACCTGTGCCACTGCGAGGTAATGCAGGGCACCTGGAAATGAATCCCACCTGTAGGTGTACTGCTGCGGAATGAAGAGCAAGGGGTGATTGGTGGGGTGACTGGCGGGGTGAGGTTTCCACTGGTGTGGCGAGGTGGAGTGGAAACATTGCAGCGTGACAGATTTCCAGTCAGAGACAGAGACAGCTTGGGCTGCACCTTCTTCTTCAGGGTCTCGTGCTCTTGTCTCGCTGCGTCTGTCATAAACCTGGTTTTAAAAGAGTATGAAATTTCTTCTTATTTGCTGGAAAAAAAAAAGTCGTTTGTAGGTTTGCTACTGTACATTTAATGCTCGGAAAAATAACACGCCAATAGGGTTTACAGGGGATAGTAAAGTCTTTGATAAATGGCTTTAATAAAAGTAAAACGTTAACACAGACATTGTTAAAGCAATAGTGGAATTAACAAATTAAGCGATAGCCACATCAAGATGTGTTTGTGAAGGCAGGGAGACGGTGGCAGGCTCTGCCGTGTTGCGTAAGACTTTTAAAGCATCTATTTAAGCCTCATATCAAAGACAGCTGGGATGAACTTAGAGCAGTGAAAAACCTCAGCTACACAACGCCGCAGAAGTTCATTTAAGCAATGCACCAGATGACGAATGAATCCGTCAGCAAAAGCTCTTAAAGGAGCGCAAGATACTTCCTATGAGACAGTAGCAATAAACCCTGATGTAAGAAACTTCATTTTGGTCAAGCGTTTTGCATAAATAGGGTCGATCTTGTTAATTCTGAAAGGAACAGCATTTCTTTACCTGTTGATATAACTGAGGGCAACGTATGTCGGCTGCTGCCACTCCTGCTTCTCCAGAAAACAGGGGTCTGTATCTAAGCAGGCAGAGGAAGAGACATTTTAGAAGAATTCACGGAAGATAAAATCTTGAAGATAAAATGTAAGAGGAAAATAAAATTAAAAAATACATTTTTTTAAAACCTACAGAAACATTGAAAATAATTGTTATATTAAATTTAAGGCTTTCCCCCCTTTTTTTTTATTTAAGCTCCATATAAAGGTTTAAGAGCTAGCCCTCTTATAAATATGATATGGCAGGGGTTCTCAAACTTTTGGGGCCCCCCTCATAACCCTCATATTTATTAAATCATTTTCTTTAATTTGTTTCTTTAATGTAATGGAAATATTTGTGTAACATAAATACTTAAAACCTGTTCTTTAATAGTGTTAATACAATTTTTATACTTTTAAACATGGGGTATTTTTCATTCAAGACACAATTAACAATAAATTAATTTCAACTTCCAAAAATTATAGTTTTGATAAAATTAACAGTATCAAAAACCACTTTAAATCTTTACCTATTCACATAATGAGCATAATAAATGTGTTGCCACGTCTTCTAATTATTACAGAAAACGATTTACATAAACTGAACAGAACCATAGCAGCAGTAATCATACCAATAACAGGGCTTCATTTGTAAACTGATCAATGTCGGAACGCAAATAGAGGACGACGGTGGAGGGGGGTCTCCTCCTCCCCTAGAAAATTTTGAATAAAGTAGATGTGATTTCCTGCATTTTGGTGTATTTTAATGGGTTGTTAAACATCTCTGTGCTAAAAAAAAAAAAAAAAAAAAAAAAAAAAAAAAT